TAGAATAATTTTCGAATCCATTGGAATTATTTTCAAATCCGTTGGAATTATTTTTGAATCCATTAAAATTGTTTTCGAATCTGTTGGAATTATTTTCAAATCTGTTAGAATTATTTTCGAATCCATTAAAATAATTTTTAATCTGTTAGAATTATTTTCAAATCCGTTGGAATTATTTTTGAATCCATTAGAATTGTTTTTGAATCCAATGGAATTATTTTCAAATCTGTTCTGAATCCATTAAAATTATTTTTTAATCTGTTAGAATTATATTCAAATCCATTAGAATTATTTTAGAATCCAGTGCAATTATTTTCAAATCTGTTAGAATTGTTTTAGAATCCGTTGGAATTAGTTTTGAATTATAGATCAGTCAGAACATATAGCATAAAGTACAGAGTGCAAGGGTCAGGACTTCATAATGTAAAACATTTCATGTAGAGTGCAGGGGTCAGCAGTACAACATAGAGTACAACACAGAATGCCAGCATATTAAAATGTAGGTTGTTTATGTAAGCAATGCCACTGGTATCCTCAGCAAGTAAATACTAAATCCGTGAGCACGTCAGGTGACGAAACGCGTAGGGAAGAGCTTGTGTATGTAAGCTAACAACGTTCCCTGATCTGCCGGCATCCGCGGATGCCGGGGGAGGTTGTGTCCCTCATTGCTGAGAATGCGGTTTTATGCTGGTGTCGGCTTAGACATCGTTTATTGTGAGTGCAATTATCTATTTTAATAAAATATGTGTTTTAAACGTTACTGCACTATGAGCTTCTCTTCTCTCTTACTTCCTGAGTACCATTCTGAGTTTATGAAGAAACGGGTGCCATACTGAAATATTCCATTTATGCTGAACGTTCTCCTGCAGAGTATTGCTCCCAGAGCACAAAGCACCTATGCTGATTTATAATATGATCAGCATATTACTCTAGTGAGTTTATTCAATTTATTTGGTGGTGGATTGGTGCACGGTGATTTTGCTTTTTGCACAAAAAAGTATTTTTGGAACTGAAACTTGTTTATTGAACAAAGAAATATATCTTCGTTATTGGTGTCGGACTTTTTTGCACATTTAGTTGGATACTTTTAATAATTGATTGATATATAGATTTATATAATTTGTAGATGTGGATATATTTACATTTTTCGGTGATATTATAAGCGCAAACCTGTTTTTTTTTCATTAAATACTATAGATCTGTCCTTGCTGAAGCACAACTGAATCCTCTGTGCAACCATTATTTAGTAATATATGCACAGGTTCATACAATATAAATTAAATTACACACAGCAGAAAACATCTGCAGTAGAAGAGATTTGGTCATATATATATTTAAAAATACAAAAAATTTGGCCATATTCAATATATTTAAAAAAATAAATAAATAAATAAATAAATATATATATATATATATATATATATATATATATACTGAATGTTGAAATGCGTTTTTTATTTATTAAAAAGTATATGAAAAATAATTGTAAAAATACATTTTCAATTATATGTCTTTGAAAATACATTTATTGTAGTCTACATTTTTGGAATGCATTTATATATGTACCGTATTTGCTGGTGTATAAGACGACTGGGCGTATAAGACGACCCCCTACTTTTCCTGTTAAAATACAGGGTTTGAGCTATACTCGCCGTATAAGACTACCCCTCTTCCAACGCACACCAAATAAAAATGAAAAAAAATCAGAATTTGATTTCAATATGGTATGCTATTTCAGTATGGTATTCCAATGATGGGGTGCTATTCCTCCCACTGACACCAATGATGAGGCACTACTCCTCCCACTGACACCAATTATGGGGCACTATTCCTCCCACTGACACCAATGATGAGGCACTACTCCTCCCACTGACACCAATGATGGGCACTATTTCATCCACTGACACCAATGATGGGAAACTATTCCTCCCACTGACACCAATGATGGTGCCCCATCATTAGTGTCAGTGTGTGAGGAATAGTGCCCCATCATTAGTCAGTGGGAGGAATAGTGCCCCATCAGTAGTCAGTGGGAGGAATAGTGCCCCATCATTGGTGTCAGTGGGAAGAATCGTGCCCCATCATTGGTGTCAGTGGGAAGAATCGTGCCCCATCATTGGTGTCAGTGGGAGGAATAGTGTCCCATCATTAGTGTCAGTGGGAGGAATAGTGTCCCATCATTGGTATCAGTGGCAGGAATTGTGCCCCATCATTGGTGTCAGTGGGAGGAATTGCGCCCCATCATTGGTGTCAGTGGGGAGAATAGTGCCCCATCATTGGTGTCAGTGGGAGGAATAGTGCCCCATCATTGGTATCAGTGGGAGGAATAGTGCCCCATCATTGGTATCAGTGGGAGGAATAGTGTCCCATCATTGGTGTCAGTGGGGAGAATAGTGCCCCATCATGGTGTCAGTGGGGAGGAGGAATAGTGCCCCATCATTGGTATCAGTGGGGAGAACAGTGCCTCATCGTTGGTGTCAGTGGGGGAGGAACAGTGCCTCATCGTTGGTGTCAGTGGAGGAGGAATAGTGCCCCATCGTTAGTGTCAGTGGGGGAGAGGAGCGGCTGCTCCTTCTTCCAGTGCGGCCGCTCGATTTTCGCGGGGCCGCTCGGCTCCGCCCCCTCGCCGGTGATTGGTCGCCTGTGTGCCTTTCCAGTGCTGGTGCCCAATCACCCGTGAAGAGGCGGAGCGGGCCGAACTGAAAGAAGGAGCAGCCGCGCTTCCTGGACCGTATCGTCGTGGGACCGGAGCCAGGTAAGGTACAGCAGCCCATCTGCCCACCCCTGTACTTGGTGTCTGTTGGAGGAGGAGGGGGGGGCGGCGCCGCGCTGCCCCTCGAAAAAGTGCCGCCCTGACACCGGCTCGCCCCGGCGTATAAGACGACCCCCGACTTTTCAGAAGATTTTCAGGGGTTGAAAAGTCGTCTTATACGCCGGAAAATACGGTAAATATATATGTTGAAATTACTTTTTTTATATGTTAAAAAAAATCTGAAGTATATTTTAAAAATATATATATTTTTAAATATATGCCTTTAGAAAATATATTTAAATTTACATTTTTCAGAATAAGTTAAAATATATCGGCGCAGGCCAATATATTATAAATATATGTCACATATATTATTTTTTTTCTAAATGTATTGGTAATTTATTTCAATTCCATGTGGGAATGCTAACAGTGACCCAAACACTAAGACTCTCCACATGCTGTGGCATTAGTCCTACCACCTACTCAATACCAGCTGGTAATGCTGAAGTATGTAATATGTCTGCAGGCGGGGAATGGGGGAATGGGCAGGGGATAGGTCCAGCATGCCAGGTAGCAGTATATCAGGCACGATGAGGATGGAACTCTAGGGGCACCAATAGGCAGGAGACCATTCCCTGTGTCAGTAACATGCAATGTTTGCTCTAGCACCTAGCACCATCACATGGAGTCTACAGGCCCCAAGATATATTCTGTACTTTACAATCTGATTGTACAATCCCCTTTAAATCTGTCAAATGCAATGCAGTGCAAAGACCAGCTTGACTGGATGCAAACTAAATGAATTGTTTATGCTAGCCCTTACATTAACTACATTTGCACAGAGATTGTACAATTAAATTTGAACCAATTTAAAGATGAAAAAAAAAATTTTACAGGTAAAACAGCTCCCAAATACTGTGTGTATTTAACTGGTATATTAAGTAGTTTGCCCATGGTTCAGTTTTAAAGGGACTCGTTCATAAGTAAGTTTGACTGTGGCCCAAAACATATAATGCCATATGCGAGAGCAGCAAAACTCTACCTACTGCCAAAAATCCCACTTAACAGGTTAATGTGGCTGGAGGGGTTAGACCTTAAATAGCTTTTGGACAGTGTTTTCACACCACTTGATAGCTAGAGATATTTTTGGATTTCATTTTTTCCACTTAATACATTGAGCCTTTGGGGTATGCAATCTGTGCTACATCACATCAAGTTCAAGTTTGCTGTTTTGCATATATGCCCAACAACAGCAGTAGAATGCATACAGAAGATGGATTAGATAAATGATTTCTGAAGAAATTAAGTACAGTTTGTCCATTCATGTACCTGAAAGGTAAATAGTCAATAAGCACTCATGTGTCTTGTAATGTAAAATGTTTGTCATTTGTTTTCTAAGAAAGCCTATCAATCTTCCACCAGCTAACAGGCCTGTCTGACTGATATTCTGTTACATGGTTATAAGTTGTGCTGCTCAGAGAAACTTATAGCTCCTTTGAGAAAGGAAGTTTGCTAAGTGATTGCCAGAGCAGAAGAGAACAGGTTGTATGACAGGTAGGGGGGTTTTCTGGTGGATAGGCCTCTCCATAACTGGAACTGGACACCATTTTGTTAGACAGATGCGTAGAAGGCTAACCCCCTGGGGTTCTTCTGGGTTACACTAGGCACCTTGGAATAGGGCCACTTCCCTGGCACATGGGGTACCTTTACTTGTAACATCAATGCCCTGGGACAAGGCTAAGGCTGCTTTGAGGGAATACTCAACTTTAAGATGGACCTCCAACTTTAGAGATGGCCTTGCACTGTGTACACTTGAACAATAAACTGTACTCCAGTTAACTCTCTCATCCCCATGTCAATGTACTCCTTTACTGTCACAGCTGCATTTCGGAGGGACACGCTGAGCCTATGCCCACTCCACCTGTCCAGCGTATTTCCGCTACCTCATACCCAGTAATAGAATGGGGTCTCACCAAGCACCTAGTGTGGACTTTGCATTAACTCTTCCTCTACCGTACCTCTACACAGGCTGAGGAACTCCACATTGCCGATCTGCTCCCATTACTATGGGAGACAGACCACTCACAGAGAGTGTCAACAGCATCTCCCTTGCTGCAAGAGGCTGTCCCACCTGTCACAGGCACATGCTTCACAACAGGCTGCTTTCTAGACCTCAGTTACCCTTGGTAACCACTTGCTTTACTCCACACCATGTTATACCTGTAGTGCTGTCTTCATACCCATGCGGACCAGGGGTGGACTGACCATTTAAAAACGTGGGCACTGCCCGAGGGCCCGGGGTCAATAGGGGGCCCCATGAGATGCCCCTGGTACCTTTTTCATAGGCTTTTTTGAGTTTGGGTAAGGACACAGGGTCCCCATGATCCCCTATTGCCCGGGGGCTCCATGAGTTGTCAGTCTGCCCCTGATGCTGACCCATGCTGTAGACTAATGTGTGTGCCAGTTACTTACATACACCCCTTTAGTAACTTCAGACCAGGAAGAGGACAAAGTTTCAAAAGCTTTACTGAAAACTTTCTATCCCAGATAGAAACAGAAACAGTCTTTTCCAAACACCCCTAATCCCAAACTTAGGCTTGTGGCTGCCCCAGCATACCTGAACAGGTTAGGAGTCCATAGATGGCAGAGTCCATAGTGGCAGAGCTCCAAAACTGGAGTCTTCAAGGTGGACTACAGGTCCTAGCAATCTCCCCATGCTGTGAAAAGCTCCTGAAGCCAGGTGATCATCAGCAGGAACTGTGGTCTTGGCATGATAATGATGACTAGTTCTGGCAGATGGCTCACAGGATCCAGAAATCTGTCCTTTTATATATCTACAGGATCACTGTGTCGGGCCCAGAAAAGCCTGCTAAGAGAGACCCGGGATGTGGTGGCACAGTGTTAACTCCATCTCTCTCAGCTGAGGCAGCACCTTTACTAAACTAATAGTAGGAAACCTCCTACAAGGCAACTGATCAAAGGTCAATGTTGGGGGCGTACACTTGGTAAGGAATAAAGCCAAAGATGAACAAGTGAATGCTCACAATTGAGAGGTGAACACCTGGGAGCATGTATATGCACATAACCCTGTAAAAAGGATGGTAGCCAAGGTGAGGCTGCAGGTGCAGAAGGTAAGTGTATCACAAAGTAGAAACTAGGGAATACCTGTTCAACACAGACATGAGCAAACAGTACACATACATGACAGGAACACACTACACATTCATGACCAAGAGATTCTTGCCCAGCAACCAAATGTCCTGCAGTGTGTTAGCAGGTGCAGTTAGCTTGCTTGACACTTGGCTGTCCCCAATATAGTCTAGCATGGGGAAAATGGTAATTGGCTCTTAGAGCCCTTTTAGAGAAAACGTTCCTCTAGTGATGTAATGGTTGGAGTTAGTGCCCCTATAAGTGCCAGGACAGGAAGGGCCTACTGTGTTGGGGCATGGTAACCAAACACCTTAGAGCTATCCGGATGTAGTCCATTACGGCCCAAGGGGCCTTAACAGAGCTCAAACTCTAGGTGAGGTTGCTCAACACTCTGTAAGAACAGCTGTAATAACCCTGACTCTTTTAAAGTCTTCTGTAGGCTGTGAGCAGAATGAAAAAGGCCTTTCAGGCCAATTCCAGAGTCTTCTGAAGTGAGTAGTAGTACACCTGGGTGTATGCATGCCCCGCTGGGCAGAACTATGGAAGAGACATTAAGAGAGACTGGTGTACTAATGAGTGTACTTTCATTCTATGCAGTGATGGAAGCTGAATGCTATAGTTTTAGCATACATGGGGAAAGTGTTACCAACTCTGTGGTGCTCCCAAAGAGAGAAGAGGTGCAATATGGTTTACAGGTTATGTGCTGGCTTTCTGAGCCTAAATGACAGCTACAAAATTTTGTATGTCAATGTGATGTCAGATGTCACAGCCATCTTTGAGACATTACTGTAAAATGCAGAAAATGTATTTCCTGTGTGGACATTCTACTATTTCTAAATATTAGGGCTTACAGCCGGAATGGCCCCTACCACAAAGAGTTTGATATGGTAAAGGGTTCCATCTAAAAGCAGGTGGGTAGTTGTCCTATCCAAAAATCAGCGAGTGGGGACCTGTGCAGTTTGGTGCCAACACACAGCCAATTGCAAGCCCCCTCACAGTTCTATGACAAATTGTATGAGCACCCAGCGTATGAGAAACTGGCAGGCAATTGATAGACCACAAAAAACAAGCAACCAACAGGGGTTGACTGACAGATAGCCACCCAACTGATAGTCCCTGCTCCATTAAGCAAGGAGTACCCTTTAAGTAAAAAGGTTGGGAGAACCACAATCGGGCTCAGGGTAGGATTTCTGCTGCTGTTCCTAATTTTGAGATATGGATTGCGTGCACGCCGGAAAATAATTACATGGACAACTGTCCAGTACAACCACTTTCACATCATCTCATCTCTGTTTATTGCAGGGCGGTGCTTAACCTTTTATACATAGAGAACAATAGAGTACACGTCACTATTACGTATATACAGTCACATTCTCAAAGGCACATTTTGCTTTGTTGAAATATAGGAGAAATGTAGAAACTTAATGCTTGCTTCTCATCCCGTTATCTTTTCACTCCTCCTCACATTCCCAAAGTCTAAGTGAAATCGTCTCAGTGCGAAGGGAGGGGTTGAGAGCATCGCTCTGAACAAAACAAGTTAAGGAGGACTGCAAAGCCCAGCAGACAAAATATATATATATATATATATATATATATATATATATATATATACACACATATATTTAGAAATATAAAAAAGTATAAAAGTAAATATGTATAAAAATGTATATTTTAAACAGAAAACAGAATAGGCATTTTACCAAATCCATCACAGTCCCCCCTTAAAATGACTATTTTACTCTGTCCCTATGAATCCTAGCTCATCTGTCCTTATGTACCTTGGAACTCTTTTATGCTGTACGTTAGACGGGTGATGACTATTTCATCACCCCCCTTGCCACAGACTTTGTACATAAGGAAGTCAGATGCTATCCCTACAAAATTGTGAAATTACTATTGGCGGGGAGGGACCGTAGAGGAGTGAAAGGTTTATCCTCTTCCATCACAAAAGGGTCCTTCTCTTCTTGATGGAGAAATGTAGGTGTGCTGTTGTCTACAACCTTACTTATTAACTTCTTTACAAATTGTAGAATACAACATACAATCAGAGCTAAAAGAACTAGAATTATTCATACCGTTACCCCTATTTGGGCGAGCACTTTTTGCCACCCACTCATCCAGCTAAAATATTGGTCCCACGGGTCTGTGATACCTGAGTTCTTTTTCAGCTCCACTAACAGACCTTCTAATTTCTTTATAGCCAATGTAACCTTATTCATTCGGGCCAGTATTGTCAGGAATATATGTACAACATGTTCCGGTTCCTTCTATCATTTTACAGACACCTCTTTTTTTTCCGCTAAAATCATGTCCAGAGCCATCCTATTCTGGAATGTCATGTAGGATGTAGGGGCTAACTGGTCAACGATTCCTTGGAGGGCATCCCTGGTGTAATTCACAAACCTCTGTTGGTTGTAGTATATGTAATTTATCCAATCTACATTTTTATTAACAGTTATTATGGGGATCAGAAATTCAAAGCCTGCTTTTACTTGGTCTCTTGCTTTGAATTTATTAGGCACCCCCCTTGGGACTCCAATGGCATCTATATACACATGTGGGTCAAAACTGCCAGAAGGAGCTTTTCGCTTCCTCCTACGGCCAGGCGTTGGGTCAGGGGTATTTCTGCTAGGATGTGGAGAGGCATAATGGCCTTTGCAAGGGCACACTCACCAGTCCAAATCCCTTCCAATCTGGTTCTAATCTTTTGGTTCCCAGTAATCATCCGTGACACATATGTATATTTGCTCACTACTATCGGAACATGCTCATTATGTCAAGATCATATAGATTATGGTCATAGCACCACATGGGATCTATACTACAGAAATCAAAGGTGAAAATAGCTACATGAGTATTGGATAAATTGTACCAAAATATAGTGGTGTCACCTATTTTGGTGATAGCCACCTGTTGAGCCTCTGTCAGACTTATAAGAAAAAGGATATACAACATAGTTGTCATGGTGTAGATGACGCCTTTTCCTCAGGGTTTGGGACTTTCTTGCAGTGGGAGGCGTGTATCCAAGTGTTCTTCCCGGCCACCTTGACAGAAGTGGCTGTGGTCAGCAGAACTTGGAATGGACCATCATATCTTGGCTCAAGGGAATGTTTCCTCATAAATGTCTTTACTAATACCCAATCTCCGGGTAATAGGCTGTGAGTTCCTGTATCTGACTCAGAATCTGGAATGGAGAAAACACTTGGACATGGATACGGGTTAATTCACGTGATAATACAGTCACATAATCAGTTAACACATCAGATTGTAATTGCAACTGTTGCGGAAAGTAACAGCCAAGTCTGGGGGGCTGAGCTAAACAAAATCTCATAAGGGGACAGGGCATGTTTCCCCCAGGGGGTGGGTCTGACACTAAACAGAGCAATGGGCAAACTGTCTGGCCAACTCATGTTTAGTCTCTTGGGCCATCTTTAGCATCCTGTTTTTTAGAGTCCCATTCATCCTTTCTACCTTCCCACTGCTTTGAGGGTGATAGGGGGTGTGTAAGGCCAACTCAACCCCCAGTGCTGTCCAAATCTCTTTTGTAAGGGTTGCTGTGAAGGCTGGACCCTGATCACTCTCTATCACCTCTGGGACCCCAAATCTACAGACTACCTCACTCAGTAATTTCTTAGCCGTGGTCTTGGCTGTCATGTTTGTAACAGCATAGGCTTCCGGCCCACCAGAGAACATGTCCACCACCACTAGAGCATATTCATATCGGCCACTTTTTGGCATTTGTATATGATCAATCTGTATCCTCTGGAATGGATAGAGACGTTTTGCCAGATGTTTTTGCGGTGTCTTTTCCGTCCTCCCCGGATTGCATTTTGCACATACTACACACGAGGTGCAGTAATTTCTGGTTAAGGTAGTTATCCCTGGAGCCCAGTAATACTTGTGATCAGTGAGTTCCATTAAGTTCTTAGAGAGATGTGCATGTCCATGCGCCCATTGGACAACTGCTGGATACATATGTTTTGGTAAACAAGTTTTTCCTTTCATCGAATACAATTCTCCATCGTAGTCTGCTCCTTTATCAATCCATTCCAGCCTTTCTTCTGTATAAGCAGCCATTTGCATAGAAATCAGGTATTGCTTGTCAGATGGCACATGCACTGCCAAAAGTATCTGTACTGAGGTCTCACTCTCCTCTTCAGCCACCTCAGACGTTTTTCGTTGGTTTTTTTGCTGCTTCTTTGGCAGCTATATCCGCCAAGTGGTTCCCTCTGGCCTCTTGAGAATTCAGTTTACCATGTGCTTTAACCTTCAAGACAGCCACTTGATCAGGCA